TAAAGGGTACATGGAGGTTGGGGTACGCTGGTCCTGCCAAAGGCGGCCGAGGGCCTGGTCTTCATATTGAAGGTATTCTTTGGATGTAAAACTCACCTGTAGGTTCCTGGGGCAATTTCTGGTAATTAGAGTAAACTATAGGTTATCTTTACTCTCAGACCTTTTCTGTCAGTTGAAATTGTAAGACATTTCAAATTCACTTCTTCAGATCTTTGAGGAGGTTGAGAGAGCTCTTTCTGGAACTTAATGTCTTCTCATCATGTAGGCTGTGAACTGAGCTCTTACATTTGTGAAGCCCGCGATCCACCCAGATGCTCACACCAGGGGATGTTTCATAACTTGTCTCCCCTCCACTCTGCTCGCCTGCTGTCTGTTCTCCACACAGCAGCCGGAAAAGATGGCTTTAGATCCCTCCTGGTGAAGCTCCGTCACATTTAGAGTAAAATCCAAACTCCTCCCCGTGGCCTGTAAGGCCCGTGTGGTCCGGCCCCTGCCAGCGGCCTCTCCAGCTGCATCTCATATCACACTCCCACGTCCTCACTCTGCTTCTGCCGTCCCAGCCTCCTCTCTGCTTGGCTGACACAGTGCACCCTTTCCCTCTCGAGGACCCAGCTCTTCCAGCTGCGTGGAGAGCTCTTCCCCAGATTTTCACAGAGTAGGTTTCTTCTTGTCACTCAGATTTCAGCTTAAGTGTCACCTCCTCAGAGATCCCTTTCTTGACCATCTCACTTCCCAGTCTGTTTTATAGCAAGTTTTATTTTTACTATATACCTGATACATTTCTTATTATTTACTTATTTATTAGCTTGCTGACTTTCTGTTTGGCTTTCCTGCATAGAACTTAAGTTTCCTGAAGGTGGGAAGTGAGTTTGTTCAGTGCTTTTTCCTAATGCCTAGAACAGTGTTTGACTACCGTAGGCACTCAGGAAGAGTGAGGGAAAGGAAACTAGGGTGGTCGGAAGGAAAGGAGCCAGTCATGTCAAGTCGATGGGAAGCCAGGAGGACAGAGGGAGGGAAGGCAGGGGGGTTGGCAGGGGTGATGATAATCGCCAGGATAGGCGGGTCGGGCGGAAGGAAGGAAGGTTGTGGGTGAGTTGATGGAAGGAAAGTTCTACCTGCTGCTTCTTTATTACGACTAAATATTTAATACAGAATTTACCCTAAATGCTGAGCCTGAAACATCTGTTCTTTAATAATTGTGTGTGTTTTATTACAGCTGATGAAGCTGCTTGGATGGACCCACTGTGCGTCTTTTACCGAAAACTGGCTCCCCATCATGTATCCTCCTGATTACTGTGTATTCTAACATAGGAACCAAGACTTTAAATTTTAAAAAAGAAAGTTTTATAGTGAATGGATATAAAAACAAATTTGTGGCATTTTTAGTCTAATGCATGTTTTCATCTGCTATCAAATACTGATTATTAAAATGATGTGTATTTATCAGAGAATTTGCTGGCGTGTGGCTTAATACATGTAAATCTAGACCTCTGACATCATGGTGTTTTCTTAATGCCTCACATTGCTGGCAGCGGGCTGTGCCCTGGCTGCCAGCACCAAGGACTTTCAGTTGGGTTGCAGCTGTTACATGCATGAGAGGTTTTGAACAGTAACTTTTAACTGCAAACCTATAAAATTCTATTTTTTATTTTATAAATGAACAGGGTTTTAACATGCGCGACTTTAATTTTTTTCAATTGTATGAAGGCCTTAAAAAAGCTACATTAAGCGTAGCTAGAATTATTTATTAGACTAAAAAGTAACAGAACTTCATTTCCAGATTTTTTTTTTTTTTTTTTGGCAAACGTTTACATTCAATTAAGGGGAGAAAATAAAACCGGCACAAATAAATTTGTGGCAAACGCTGGAGCATAACTGCTTCAATCAGTCTTCATCTTGGAGTTATTTCAGGCCGATCATTTTTAACATCTTCTTGACGTGCAGAGCATCAGAATGAGCTAATAATACATGTATAAGTGCCAGACAGCTTAAATCTGTATCAGGTATTGTAAAGATACATATATGGTATGTTTATTAAAGTTGAAATAATGTAAACACGTGAATAGATGTGCAAACCCAAGATCGCAGTACACCATATGCACTCTCATACCTTAATTTTTTATAAATAATAAAAGTGAATATTGAAGGTTCTTAAAGTTGGTCTTAATTTTTCATAAATAAAATTTGGGGTTAGAACAGAAATGAATAATACATTAAATCCATAGACAAAAAATTCAACATGAAATAATTTATAATGTTTCTTATAGGCTTGCAATTATTTGAATATATTTCCGAATCTTATTATGTGATTAACTTTTGTGTAGGTTTAATTTTTTATTTTTATCTCTCTGGCTACTATACTTCTTTCATCCTTCCTCCGTAAAATAAGCACATGTAGACAATATTAAAAGGCCTCTACTGTCTTATAGCAAATGTGTTTGTGTGTGTATGGTTTTTAAATCTTCCCTTAGAATTTACTACTGTAAAAGGCCTACCAGAGATCTGGTCTTAGTCATTCGTGACTGTTTTTTGAGTAATTGGCTCCTTTATCTGATGAAGACGTTAGACCCTTTATGAAAAAGTGCACATATGCACGCAGACATTTTGCACAGTTTCTGAGCCATCTAAAGTGCACCCATGAACAACCACATGCATGTTCTCTGACAAACACATGCTTTCACCTACACATGGACAGGTTCAATCCAGTCAGGGAATTGAGATGCTCAGAAGGGGTAGGGTGGCTCCCCAGGGTCGTGCTGCTGGCTGGATGTTAATTAGAGAACGTGTTTTACCACCGGGTTTGGCATCTCTGTAAGTACTACCTGCAGCACAGAGCCTCAGGGTCAGCCAGGGGTGAGCACTTGGGTCCTCCCCAGGTCCTCCCCGAGGATGCATTCAGCCCTGCCATGTGCGTGGCTGGTACCCAGGAATATGACAGCTTTCTGAGCCCCTCTGGGCATTTCCCAGACTTTCCCTTTAGGCTTTTTAATTAGTCCCAATGGTTAGCCATCATCTAAGGCAGCCACAAAATTGTACAGTTGCCTGTAATCCTCTAGACAAACCCCTGGGGAAAGGCTTCTCAGCCTGCGAGAGATCTGAGTCCAGTCAAAGACGGCCTTGCACGTGGTGTTTTCTGGGGAACAGTCTCCAGGGATTGCCAGGCTGCTGGTTTTCAAGGCTGCCATGGAGCGGGAGATGGCATGGGGACAGGGCCATTGAAAACGTCACAAAGCACACTGCTGTCTTAGCTGAGGTTCAGCCGTTTTGAGTGAACATGCTTCAGATTGCTACATGTCTTTGGTTAAGATTGCTACATGCTTCTGAGAATTTTTGTCAGTTTTCTCATGACTTTAACGGAGGAGAGAATTTTCGGAGGTGCTTTTTCACTGACAAAAACTTTTACCAGTTTCACTGAAATGACACCTTTTTTTAGAACATGCCTTTTAGTATCCAATTTTAGTATAATTTTAAGGTTAGAAACTTCCTAGTAATAGATTGATTTTGAAGTACTACCTTCTGAGTTATGTCAAGATACAATAAATTCTGGTATCCTTCAAATACCAGAAAATCACCATTGTTGCATTTCCCTAATTTCTCACTTTATTCTTCAGGGTTTGGTCTTTTTGCTGTATTTTTTAATGTGGAAGGAGAAGTTAAGTTCATGGTGGGTTTTGGATGTACTCACAGTCCTGACTGGTAGTGAGAAGCAGTAGAGTGAGGTACATGTCTGCAGGGGGAGGTGGTGAATAACAGCGCTTTTTAATAGGACATGCAGTACATCGTGAAAGTTCACAGGCAGTTGTTTTTTTTTTTTTAATCTATGAGCCACATCCGGCTCTCTGTTGTAACAAGGACTTTTCTATCCGTAATTACTACTTCTCTCTTTCAGTGGGGTGTAAGTCTTTCTCAGATAATGAAATTTTAGAATGAAGATAATTAAGTTTGCTGCGGAAATTAGAGATACAGCCACAGACTGGCAAAGTCTGCTTTGAACTGTGATTCCTAGAAAGGTTGGTCCATCAGTGGTACCCGTGGTGAGTGATGCCGGGATCTGGGGCGGTGACGCCAAGCTGCCTTGTCAGCCCTGCTTTCAGGCTAGATTATTCTGTGCCTCCATGCCGACACATACGTTCCAGGAGAAGCCATCCCCGGCAAAACTATGACGTTTCTGTGTGATTGATACAGGAGACAAAATGGTTCTTTATTTTTATATTATAAAGTGGATTCTTTTTTTTCTTTAACTTTTTATTATATACTGGAGTAGAGTTGATTACCAGTGTTGTGATAGTTTCAGGTGGACAGCAAAGTGATTCAGTTATACCTGTATCTATTCTTTTTCAAATTCTTTTAAAAGTCGGGACAGTTTTCCTACTTCAGGTAATGGTGACCAATGTCTGCACCACACCACTGAAAACAACAGAAAGAGCTGGATAAAATAACTAACTTCTGAAGGAAGCACTAGGGCTGGTGCAGAGTGTGTGCTCAGCACTAGTTCTGGGCCCCTGAGGTGACATCCGTTTTCTCATTCCAGCACTGTTTCCGAATTTTTCAGTTTTAATCAGTGTAGAGCCTAGAACTTGTTTTCCATTACTCTTTATCCTCTCCCTTTGCTACTGTTAAAATCTGTACAAAGTAGACTCTTCCAATTAAGATACACGGACCCTGTCAAGCTTATTTTCAAAAAGCAAGTGACAAAAGTATATTGACAGGTTTAAAACCATGCTCTCCAGCAGAAATAACGAGGGGAAATCCACTTGTTTGTTAATTTATCTGTGTAAAATTTATTTAACACTTAATTGAGACTCTTAGAAGCCAACAAAGCTACTTTCATGTTTTCATGTTGTTTGTGTATATTTAGATGAAGCAGATGACCCTAAACTGGTTGCTTTGGAGAGTTGCTGTAATATTATGTTTATTCTAGTTATACAAGTTGTTCCCGTGCACTACCTTTGCAATCTTATAAAATTTCTAACACTGTTCAAAAGACACACTAACGTTTCGAAAGGTATCTTGTTTAATTTAGTCCCATTTTAGCACTCCTTTAAAAAGTTTGATTGATGACTCTTGAAATTCAGCCAAGAGTGTTGTGTCAAAAACCTGCTTGAATTTATCTAAAAATTCATAATCGGTGCTGAATCTGAACTTGTTTGCCCAAAGCAACACTGTTCCCGGCTGGCAGAGGTACGCCATGGTGGCAAGCAGCTTGTCCAGGAAATAATGGTGGTAGACCACGTCAGAAGCCAGCAAGTAATCATAGTAACATGTGGACTTGGGGAAGTTCTGTTCCAGGCCCTCTCCCCACACCAGCTCTTTCACTTCAGGCAGATGTGCTGTATGGTTTAGTGTGTTCCTTAAAAGATTGTATTGAAGGTTCCCTAGGACGTCAGGCAAATCCGTTGCTGTGACTTGAGCTCCTAAGAGAGAAAGAGGAAACTTGTACGAATTACCTGGAACATTTGGGCAGCCACAGGGTACACATACTTTGAGGGAGAAATGGAACTGGGCTTCTCACCTTGGCCCTGGACCAGCGCCCTTCTCACCTATGTCCATATGGGCTGGATAATTCTGCTGGGGGACCCTGCCCTGTGCCCTGTAAGATGTTTAGCAGGGTCCCTGGTCTCCATCCACAAGATGCAAGTAGCACCTCCCCACCAAAACCCCAAGTTGTGCTGATCAAAAATGTCCCCCGACACTGCCAAATGTCCTTCATGGGGCAAAAATCACCTTTGGTGAAGAACGATTGAAATAGAATAACGTTCCCGTCTTTTAAGAAACTAAGTTAAATGGCGGTGCAGTTTTGAGAGATTTCGGAATAATTAACTAAACATACCAAGATTCTTAGCGTTTGGTTACTGTCATCATTTATAATGTTTTTCCTTCCCAAACTCTTTATCTGAAGATTTTGGTTTTCTCTTACGTGAGGTGTCAGCACCTAGTTTTCTTTACTAAGGGATGATCTGATTTGAATGACTGTCCCACCTACTAAATGCATTAAGTTAATTTTTAGGCATTTTAATGCTAGTGATAAAGGTTCACAAAATCATAATTCCAGATTGGTTTTGATAGAAGAAGATCCTTAATAGTGTAGGCTGAAGTAGGCCAGACATACCCGCCTCTTGCCCAGCTCCCAGGACTCACAACTGGCATTTTGGGTATAAATCTGTCTTCACCTTGGATTCAGTCACTTATTTTTTGTTTTTTTCCAAAACATCAGTTGTTAATAGTTGCACTGAAAAGCAGGGGACAGCATAACAGAGCTGTTTACAACAGGAACTCAAGAGTCACACCTTCAGAATTTCAACTTTCTCACGTGGTAATAATCAATGGATTGGACGAGTTAGCCTCTAAGGCACAGTTATCTTATCTCCGGATAACAGCAGTCATTCTAGTCTGGACATCTGGGTAGATTCAGTGAGTGCGATCACGGCCAAGCACCTAAACCACAGCCCGTCACACAGTACTAAGTGGTTATTATCACTGTTGTCACCGTAACCATCTTTTGAAACAAGGCCGAGAATAGACAGACAAACCTAGAATACTGGCCACGATGGAAACGAGGCCTGGTCCAGCACCGATTTCGAGCATCTTAGCTCCTTGGAGACCAAGTTCCTCTGCGTGTTCCTCCAAATACTGGCACAAAGCCATGGCCTGAAAAACATTCACAGTTGTCACCTGGACACTGGAAACCGAGGACCCTGTTCCCCACCACAAGTTAAATACTCAAAGACATGTTAAAGAGTTTCAGCTTACTGGGGGCTCACAAGAATCAAAATATACGTGCAACGGCGTGTTTTGACCTCTGGAATATGAACGCTGTAACATGCATCAGAGGAACTAGAGACACAGACTTGTGAAAGCGCCTGTATCAGAAGACCCTTGACCAGCCTCCAGGAACAGGAAGTTCAGCTCAGCTCTTCCAGAACCAGGAGAGGAGGGGCCGCAGGGCAGCAAGCCCTTGCTTAACGTCATTTTGGGCCTCCACCTGCTGTAAGACTTGGGCTGTAAGCGGCTCCATCCCCTCCCTGCTGACTCCACCAACGTTCAGGTTGCTCTGGAATTTGCCTGCTGCACTGAACAACTGCGTAGGAATTTTTCTCTTAAAGCAGTTCATCTAAGAAACACTCGACTGGCTGGGCAGTGCTTCCCAAACCCTAGCGCACATGCAGGTCACCTGACGCCTGGTGAAAGACGCCCTGGCTGCGTGTGGTAGGGCTGATGGAGCTCAAGGCTGCATTTCTAACAAGCCACCAGCTAATGCCAGTGCCACCGGGCCACACTTTGGGGGGTAGCAGCAAGGAGGTTACATCCTTTACACAGTAAAAAAAAAAAAAGAAGAAATTTAGATCGATTTCTGTACAGAAAATCAAGGTCCCTTCCCATGTGAGCCAATGGGCGTCGGCTGGTGATGTCTCGGACTAGAGGGACTGGGGAGAGTTACTAGGCGTGAGAGCGTTACCGGAGTTGGGAATGCGAACCCTGCAACCCTGCGCTGAAAAGGCAACGTGAAAGCTCTCGTTTGCACACACCTTTAGTCCTTGTCTTCGTGCAGGTGCTCTGGGCTCGCTATGACTCACTTTCTGTCTGGGGCCCAGGCTGGAGTAGGGGGCGGCCTGGATAGTATGAGACAGCCGCACTCACGATGGCCTGCACCAGGGTTGGTGGCAGCTCCGAGCACGTGGGTCCCTCCCTTTCCTCCCCAGCTCCTCTCAAGGGACTCGGGGGCCAGGGACGGGGGTGGGGGGAGGACGGAAACCAACTCCCAATGGCACGGTAGGGAGGTAAGGGGCGTCAAGGGGCCCTGGGCGCTGGAGGATGAGTGAGAGGGGGACAGGCGGGACGGCACGGGTGCGGGGTGGCACCGGCATCCAGCCCATGGCAAGGAGCTCCAGAGCTGGGGGCGGCAGTTTTGAGGAAAGGCCTTCTTTGGTTCTTGAGGAGAAAGGAGCATTATTCACTGTGTGGGATTTCAGGATTTGGAAGAGTGTCACCCAGAGCCACCAAGACGTGTGCTCTGAGGAGTTCCTGAAGGGGTAGCTGTAGGCGTCCTTCCTGAAGGGCTCTGCCCTGTGACAGGCTGGCCCGGTGGGTGCCATCTGGGGACGGATCTTCTCTCGGGAACAGCTACATCTTTCAGCAAACACTCCCCCGCTTCTTAGTCCTATTAGCAAACTCCGAAAAGTCATCTCTCACAGCTGCTCTTGAAGTCGCACAAGGAAAGGGTGCTTCCCCACACGATACGGATCCTTCTGCAGCCTTCAGGAAACTGAGGTCCCGAGAAGGGCCAGGGTTTGGTGCATGAAAGGCTGAGGCCTTATTAAGAATAAAACAGTCCAGTGGACAAATCATCTTTTTCCACTCCTGATTTCTGATCACCCAGCTCTGGGTGTCTGTTTGCCAAATATAGTAGGAAGCTGTGGAGAGTCGCTTGCTGGTTTCAAACTTGTTAAGCCAAAGAAAAACATTTAGCTGAAGGAAATCATACTTATATTAAGCATAACGGGTAAAAATCGAGCTTCCTTGGCTGGGGTCAGTGAGGGGGCAGCTCTAAGAGCCTGGAGCCCTTGGCTGTCCCTCCCCTGCCCCCCCGCTCCATCTCCCCCATCACTGGTACCCAGACTGCAAAGGGCGCTCCAAGGAACCTCTGATCACAGCCACGCAGCGGGCCAGCAGGTCTGCGTCACCCGGGAGTGAGTCAGAAATGCAGCCCCAGTCCACCTCCCCCAGCCTGACCTCCTGAATCAGAGTCTGCATTTAACAAGAACCCAGGAGGATTCCCATCTAAGCTAACAGTGGGGCAGTTCTGATCTGGAGCCTCTCCAAGCACAGGCTGAGAACCTCTGCAGTGGAAAGAACGAAGGCGCTGGCCTCCGAGGTCCATCGTCCCAGCCTGGTTCTGCACTGCGGCGTGCCAGGGGAAACAGTGCACTCAGCCAGAGCATAGCAGGTTTTCTGGCTCTGAATTCCGTGTTTTCCCCCATTTCAGCTCCATCCTCTGGGGACTGTTGCAGGGAGAGCATGAGATGAAGCACCACTTCCTAAGCGTTTCCACTGGACTGGCCGCACTGTAAAAGGCGAGTGAATACCCGAAGGTCTGTGGGAGAGGCCCAAAGGTGGCCACTACAAAATCTAAACTCTAAAGACTTTTCTTCTGATTTTTTAACAATTCATATGAATTTTTCATCCTACTTCCCAATATACTCAACTTTATGTTAATGTGAGAAAATAATGTTTCAAGAAACATAACATAGAGGAAAATCGTTGTTTTTAGGAAAGATGCCGTGTTTCTGCAGCATCTAGGTACACCAGCAACACCCCTGGGGGGGCATCCTTGGACCCTCAATTTGAGAAGCACAGAGCGTTAGAGCACGTGGCAAGTCGTCCAAGGCACCACAGTTGTACAGATTTGCTGTTCTCATCCCCAGAATCCCCGACGCCCCAATGTGACAGCTCCCTCACCCCTGGCCACACCACCGCTCCGTAACTCTCGATCGATTCTTGAATGACAATCCTCTTGCCTGCAAACCAATAGTACTCCTGGGTGTAGCTGGCGTAATTCATAGGAACGAATTTCTGGAGGCTTTGAAGCGATGGTTCTATCTTGTTAGAATCTGTGGGACAGAAAATTAAATCGGTTTCATTGTTTGTTGATCCAGTGCAAATCTACACTCGGTACAGTTAGTCAGACGGGAAGAGACTGAGCAATCTTCCAGAAACAGAGGGGGGAATGCCATCAGTGACAGTGGCTGCAAACTAGCCCAAACTGAATGATATGGGGTGACAGGGACATAACATTTCTATGGGACATTTTTATCATACGACGAAATGCCAAAGGATGCCCTGGGCCCTTCCCTCGATTTAGGAGCAGACAGTGCGGTGTCGATCCATCCCTCCCTCTGTTTTGGTGAGAGGAGGAAGCTAGGCCACCGCACAGAATGGCACGAATGAGCCATCTGCATAAGGAGGACCGAGGCAAGCGTGGACCTGACTATTTTTGGGTCTTGAAGTGATGTAACATTCCCACATGTTGGCTGGAACATGTTCATTAAGTCCTTCTACAACTGCTTCTCAAAAGGTGCAGGTCACCCAAAGACGAGCCAGCTCCGCAGTCCTGGGGGAGGTTGTCAGATGAGCTCCAGCTATTAAATTACTCTTCCTTAAATACTCCTTTACGCTCATGACCACTCAAGCAGCTCTCAGATGTCATATAAAATGAGAGGAAAAGAGCACCTGATCGGGGCTGACATCATGGAAGCCCAGAATGTCAAAGGTTTCGCAGGGGGTTTCAGCATAAAAAGAACAGCGAGTAATAAGATCAGAATGGGGACCCTTTCTGCGCATGGAGGGGTCGTGCGCAGAAGACGGGGGGCTGCTGGTACCCTCGGGGAGAGGTGTTGGCAGCGAGGAGTCTGGGGGGGAACTTGCATGAGACCAGCCTTTGCTGCCTGAGCTCTGCCTGCGGATGTGTAACCAGGGATGGACTAGTGGAAAGGAGCATTCAGTGAACATCTGAAGGTCTCTAACCAGAAATATGCACTCAAGGAGGCAGGTGAGGGTGAGTGCAGGGTGAGTGCAGGGTGAGGGGTAGGGGGCCTTTGAAGAAGCCTAATCAGGGGTCCACCCCTCAGAGATCAGGTTTCACTGATCTCCACCCGCACTGGACGGTTCTGTGCCACAGCTCTGCAAACGCTTTGCAACAGGGTCACAGCCAGAAGAGTCCAGAAATGTGGAGTGAACACTTAGAAACATTTACAACAACTTGACCATATCTGTTGAATCTGATTGTGAAAAACCAAAGCTTGTATTGTGTATGTCTTTGTACTTCTTTTCATGTTGTTCCTCCAGAAATTCATTTGTGTTGCATTTTACAAAAAAGTATCCAAGTGGTCTTTGACCACAGTGTGGGCCAAATGACCAGTTTGTAAACTAGCACCGTGACGCCTGCAGCTCTCAGCCATGGGTTCTGATCTCCTGGAAGGAGAATTCTCTGTCCTGACCACAAAGGCGAGCTTCCAGAAACCCAGGGCTTCCTTGAGCTTGCAAGAACCTGCTGATGGATAGTGGCCAAGTCCTGAGATGTCATCCTTCCCTGTCATGTGCCCCAGGAGAGGCTGTGGGGAGAGGAGAGGACCTTTGGTCCCCACCCACCTCTTATAAGGGGAAACAACCAACATCTAAAACCATGAACCTGAAATTTATCACTCAACAAAGGGGACCCAGCTTCTCCCATAGGCTGACAGGCTGACTCTGAGTTCTGTTTCAGAGAAAATAAGAAGGTAGAGGAACAGACCATCTTGTGCCCAGAAACTTTAACAACCAGCCTGGGGGCGGTGAGGAAGCACTGACGTGCAGGATTTGGCCATCACCATGGTGACAGCGCTCCCACAGTGGCCATCCCTGGGAAAGGGGTGAAGCAGCTCAGCACCACAAGCGTTTCTACCACACGGATACGATACCCCTCAACAGCCTCAAGGGCACAGGTCATCGTAAAGTGTAGGAAAAGAATTCCTGATGAGACGTGAGTATTTATTACCTAAGTTTTTCATATACCTTTACCTTTTACATAATCCATTTCATTGTACGTTTGTATGACTTAAATTTTAACAATGGCCATGTTTAACAATCAGCTCGCAAAATTCCTGAAATGCAGGAGCTGGTACAGGCCATCTGGAATGAGGAGTGGGTACCGGGCTGTCCTCCTTACCTCTGAGCCTCTCATCACTGGAGCAGCCAGACCGTCAGGGACCCAGGCCACCTCCTGCCAGCTTCCATCCCCTCGATATCACCCAGACCGTTCCTTCCTCCCTTCCTCCCACAAATAACCACAAATAAAGGTTAACTTTTCTCTCAAGACTGTAGGAAAAGTCTATGTGCTGATTTTAAGTGGCTCATACTTTCACAAGATGACAGATCGTAATCTGATGGTTGTACTTTCTGGATCGACATTGTAAAGAAACGGGCATATAAATGTCCTCCACAAGACCATTTTTCCACGCTACAAAGATAAAAGAAATCTATGTTGATTGCACGTGATTTTCAATTATTGTATCTATGCTCGTCTGACAGTTTTAGAGACATCAGATTTTCAAGATAGGCAGAGTTGCATTTTTATGTAAACAGTTTAAGAAAAATGAATTACCATCCTGGTTTAACAGAGTTGGAACATAATTTTCCACTGTTGACTGTTAACGTTTTGAACGTTACATCTTGGCTCTTATGACATCATTTGTTATGTCTGTTGTTTATTTACTACTGATTCCCTGCCCAGAAAAGCAACACTAAAGGGTTCTGTTGTCAAAATGGGAAAGTACACTTGACTTTACACTGATCCACTGAAGGACGCAGCTGCCAGGAATACATTTTGGCGAAAAGCAGGAAGGAATCTAGATTTCATTTCTCTTTTAAAAGTTCTTGTTACAAAAATCTAACCCTCTTAGATTTGGATAAAACAAAGTTTTGGTCTTTGATAGGTAAATTATAAAAACATAGGGATTACCTTTAGTGTCATGCTTCTGCTTGCATAAAGGCATTTTTCTACTAAGCATCATGGTAAGAAAAAGATGAAGGGTTAAAAGGAAATGGATATTCTTGTGCCTGGGGTTCACTGCAAAACGCCATCCCCAGGAAAAGATGGGAGAAGATGTGGAGCTGAGGAAGGAGGTTACCTCCCGGGGGTCCGCTGCTGCCGTCTGTCTGTAGACCCTCTTCATCCGGGGGTCTCGGTGCCTCGTCCACGGACTGGGGCTGCTGCCCTGAGCGCAGACACGCATCCATCCCAGAGCCGCCAGGGAGGAGAGAGCTGGCCTGGACTGAGCGCTCCTCTGGGTCTGAATCGCCCAGAGCCTCTGCAAGGTGCAGCTTATCGCCTTAGCATCTGCTGAGCTGGAAAGAACACCTGCATTTCAGCTTAGTTCCCCGGGGCGGGGGCGGGGGCGGGGTGGGGAGAGCAGCCGCCCTGGGCGCTGCCATCCTGGTTTTGCAGAGCAGAGTGGAAGGAAACCATGACACATCATCACCCCACCTTTCCCATCGCCTGGAGAAATGCAAAAGCAGAGCCACTGTAGCCAGACAGGTGCTGCCTTGCTGCAGTCTAAGGTGTATTTCTAAGAGCTTTTGGAACTGAATCTCGATGAAGAAGGTCTGATCCAGACGTACATATCTTTAAGGGTACCTTGTGGATCCAGGGCTAATGACGTCATGGATTTGCCCCAAATGCGGGGCTGCTCCCTTCTCATCTGAGCCTTTAGCGCAAGATAGTAGAAAGCGCTGGGGGCTGAGAGCCAGGAGGCTGGTTGGCTGCCCCCTCTTACTCTTGGCAACTCACTTAATCCCCTCCACACCATTTCCTCATCAGCAAGAAAGGGAAGGATGATACCTACCTAGCTCTTAGGGCTGTGGGCGAGAAACGGGAGAGCAAAAGTGATCAGTGCAGCTCAGGAACACTCTACTGATTAAGGAAACAGGACCTGGCTGTTGGGATCATTGATCAGCTTCCAAACAAGAACACCTGACATCGCTGCGGGACTTGGCGTGTTTTTGCCAAGCACCGTTCTTGTGCTTTTAGTGAATTGATTCATCTGATCCTCACAACATACCCTATGAAGTGGATGCTATTATTATGCCTCTTCTCAGATGAGAGAAATTCAAGCACAGAGAGATTCAAAAGCAGCCCAGGAGCACGCAGCCGGCCAGTGGCAGGGCCAGGAGTCAAACCCAGGAGGTCCAGCTGCAGGATCTATGTTCTTGACCATGAGGTGGGACACGGCTTGAGCTGCCTAGCTTCAGCGGTGGGTTTTCTGGCTGAGTTTGCCCTGAAATTACTCATAATGCTTAGTTGTCACAGTGACGTTTTCTAGTCTTTTTTTTTTTTTTTTACAAAATGTAAATCATTTTCCTAATTTGTTTTTATATACCAGAGTTGCCCCATCATATTGTTTTGGCCAGCTGGGGATAGCAACCAGCCACACCATTACTAACTATTCCACACCTGGAGGGGTCATGTGCCTCTCACATTAAGGTGCAACAGGATTTCAAATCAGTGAGGTTCCTGTGAAGGTAATTTAGCATTTTCACCGGCTCTAGACTCAAACAATCAAATATTTACCCCAATTCTTCAACTCAAGGAGTTGTTTTTCTCTTGCAGATACTTACTTGCTCCTTCTCTTCAACGTGCCCCCGACTCCAGAAGTTAACTGTTCTCCTAAAAGACAGCTGACTTGTTGTTGGTGAGTACCCAGAGCATCTTCAGGGAGAAAGTCTCAGCGCTGCGGTGAAGGGCCCTGCATTTGAATGCTGGCTCTGCCATGTACTAATTTTGTTGAAAATGTAGATAATGGTGATTCTGACCTCACATGACGGTCGTAGTAGGAATTAAGTGAGATAACCTGTGCAAAGCCTCTTTCACAAACGGTATTAACTTATTCTCATCTTCAAAGCCAGAGAGTAGTCAGGCAAGACAACACTCTTTATAGGACACCCACCCAGCACCACGGGACTCTGTGCATTAAATTTAGACATTTCTTCATTTTGCATGCAAGAAAAGGAGACCTGTTTTCACTCCAATAACAGGTAGTATTTTTCCTTGTGAAATGAAATGACTCCCCTCCCCCATCATTATAGTTGACATGAGACATTAATTTTTTTCCCCAAAAAGCAACCTAGAAAATAACTACAGTAATCTACCTAGTGTTCATTATTAGCTCAACACATCATATGATCTATATCATATGTTAGTATTTAATAAAGAATTGGGAAGTTCTGAAAAGGACTCCTTGTTAGTAACCTCAAAATAATTTTGGTTAGTTTAAACATATCTTTACCTTATGCAGCAGAAGAGATTTGAGATTTCTGTGCAGACTTTAATCCCCAATGTTTTATATAGGTCTGCACCTGAGAGGATTAGCATTTTATGAACAAAAGCCAGCCAGTGGAAGTCCAAGTTATTTAGGGTAGCATTACCCACCAGTACCCATGCACATTACTTTGCTAGAATTACTCTCTCTCTTTCTCTCTATCCCTTTCTCAGTTCTCAGTTTTCTGTCTTACACACACACACACACACACACACACACACACACACACACACACACTTCTTTCAACATGAAATGGAATCACTCTCAAAAGATCCAGAAATCGTTCCAGCAGAATAGAGGCTGTCCTCTGTGGTATCCAGTGGCTGTGATGCGGTTTGAAATGTAGACTTACGTTTCATTTTAAAAAGGAGTGGGCGGGTGCACAGATGGGGTTTTGTACAAACCTGCAAGCTGGGTGCTTATCAGCCCAACTCCTGTGGCTGAAGGGAGGGGCACGACTGACGTGGCCTCTGTCCTGGACCCTGATTCCAGCAGCCAGAAATAACATTAAGACTCTACTGAGAGGAGGACGAGAGAACATCTATCCACAAGAAGGGATGTGTGTCAAAGGCTTAAAGTTGCGTAAGGGGTAAAGTTAGTTGGGGCAACAGTGAACAGGAAATCAGAAAACTCTTCCCAGAAAAAAACCAGCCATTGTCATTAATTTCATTGAATAAGGAGCAGTTAAAAAGGAAGGAGGAAAATCATGTGCCCGTTTGGGAAGACTGGAAACCCTTAAAATAGAATATAGGGCATGTAAATTAAAGGCTTAGGCAAATGAGAATTGAATAATCCTTCACATTTATGAGGGACTACGCTTACCCGGTGAGCTGAGTGAATGACTTAGCTTGAGTAGATATGAGCCTATTTTTATTTATTTTTTTACTCATCTTTGGAAGTCTCTTCTCTGCTGTCACTTTTGTTCTTTAGTCCATTTCTTTTAGCTCGGTATCTTCATCTGGACACTCTGTGGTCCCATGACTATCCTCGTTCTTACTCCCGTAAATGAAGGGAGGTGACCTGCAGTCTTTTCCAAGCCTGTCATTCAAATACTTTCTTATTCCCCAGATGGTCCAGTCCTGTGACTGACCCTGCTCTCCTGTGACTTATTTCCACCAGGTGTCATCATCCCTATAAGAAACAGCAAAAAGATGGTCATCATTACAATTTAATAAATAACTCAAAAACTGATCGCAATTTATACGAATATATATATATATATATATATTTACACACATACACGTTTATTCTACATGCCTTAAAATGAAGAAAAGAACCAAGGAGAAAAATGTTCTGAATCTCCTTTAATCCCACTACCTGAGGAAGGAAACTGAACCAACATTTTTGGGTGTCAACTTCTGGGCTTTTTTGTATAAACCTTATCAAAACTATTTGGCTGAAAATGAAACTGGATAGAAATATGTATCTCTCTGACCTAGTATGGACTAGTCTATTATTTTAAGAGTTTCTTTTCAATACTTTCTTCAAAAACCATCTTTTCGGTAGCTGCTTTAGGAAACGAATCAGAACTCTACTGCCCGGAGCTGGAATAAGTTAGTCCGAGGTTCCTAAACAGTGCGCTGTGGTCAGGGTACCTCAGAGTTAACTGGAAGCTTTAAAGTACATAGACTCTGGGCTCTTGGAAGTTCTTTTGCAAGATCGAAGAAAGAGTCTAGGACTTTGAACTCCCCGTCTGACAACTGTTCCCGGCGTGTCTATAGCACGGGCACGCAGTAGATGTCCATCTATAGGGCAGGGGACGTGTGGGTTGTTTTCCCATAGTTGAAGTGCCGGTCCACGAGGAGGGATTAGCCTCCTGCCTGGCTCCGCAGGGCACGCTGATGAAGTAATTTCCCAGGAGGCAGATTTGGGTGCAACAGGAAAGAATTTTGTAACAAGCCGAGCAATGGAACAGTTGGTCTCGGGGAGCCTAGCAGGTTGGAAAGTGGGCCAGATTTAGAGTCAGAGGATGCAAGACTGGATAAAGGTTTTTATGCAGGGTCAAGGAGAAGGCTGCGTACATGCCGCCACTCTGCATTTCTCCATCAGTGTGGACTCCGAGGTATCACCGGGCTTTCTTCCAGCTCTCTCACTGGTGGTCCTCAACGAGGGGGAATCCTCCCTCCCTGCAGGGCTGTTTGGCTATTTGGAGACAATCTGGCAATTTTTGCTTGTCACCGCTGGGGGAGGGTGCTATTTGCATCTAGTACAGAGAGGCGGGGATGCTGCCGGACGTTCTACACCAGACAACCTCCCTCCACTGCCCCCAGCAAAGAACCAGCCCAAAAGTCAGCAGGGCCCAGGCTGAGAACCCCAGTCTAGGCGATGGGTAGGAGTTGGATGCAGGGTAAATTCTAATTGCCATCCTGCAAATACCATCTACCAGCAGGCTGATTTCTGCCGCCTCCGTCTCAGGGTCCTCATCCATAAAATGGGTGGGTTGACATTCACAGAGTGGCTCATACACGCCAGGCTCTGAGCCACATCCTCACAGAGATCCAACACTGCAGCCCCTAGCTTTGTCTGGTTTCTCCCAGAACCAGACCCAGAGACAAGGATTTGAGAGAAAATATTTTATTTGGGGAAGTGAAGAAGGGAGAATAATCCAGGGCAAGGGAGGCCACCAGCAATGGGTATTTATGAAGCAAGACCTACCGCAGGGGGTGATAAAAGACTTAATCCTGTGGGGGAAGACTTGGAAATGAGGCAAAATACAGACCTCAGAACTATTCTACTCCAGGTCCAGCGGGTTTCTGGGCTGTCTTTATACCAACACATTGGCACAGATGCAGAGACAGGAGATGGAGCGCCCTGATGTGTCCGAGGGATGTGAGATGGCATCATTCCTCTTCCCATGGTAAGAAGTGAAGTTTTATACATCTGAAAGAATCTGGCACAGCGCCTGGTGTCCTAGAAGGTCAACAGTAATATGTCTTGTATTAAATTGTATGCCATTCAAGTCGTGGATCGGA